TCCTTCCGTGGGTGGCCCCAAACATGCCTCCTCGTCATTGCTTGTGCCACCGATGTTCAGATTTTTTGCATTTCCAGATGAACTCGCAGACCTGAAATGTGCCCCGTTAGCTTCCCCGTGAAAAATGCTATCGAATGATATGCATTACTTCCCCAGTTGAAACTTTGGTTTTTCACCGTTTTCAGCCTTCCCCTATTGCCGGATTGGGCACTATCCCACGATTACTGCCCCAAAATCTCAAAGTTTCATTTTTCGTCGAAACTTTGTCTATTGGGGTAATTCGATGCCCTGATTACGAATATGACATTCATTTTTGATGCTGGTGTCATTTGGCGCCATTTGCGCGCCGTTTGGCGCCAATTTGGCGCCACAGGCTGTTTTCACCAAATCTGCTGAAACTTCGTCATTTGGGGTTATTTGGGGTCCTGATTACGAAAACGACACCCGTTTTTAGCGCTGGCGCCATTTGGCGCCGTTTGGCGCCAATTTGGCGCCACGGCTGTTTCCACCAAATCTGCTGAAAACGTGTGTATAGGGTTAGGTTTGGGGTCCTGAATTGCACGTATGTCAATCCGCTGGCACAAGGCTGGCTGTTTGGAGCATCGAAGAAGAGGAGTGGACTTCTGTTCGGATGGTCCGAAGGAAGAGTTTCAACTTTACTGCGACTCTCATGAGGTAGCTTTGTAATCGAGCCCGATGCACATCCTCGAGGTTGCAGACTGGAGTACATGTGATTTGCTGTTGCCAACGCATCCAGGATCTCCCAGTAAAACTGGGGAAATATGCTTCTGGCCTGTAGCTCACAGTTTTCGGTCTGGGCTCCTCATGGTCGATTGAGAAAGGTCTGATTCTCGCAACCTTATCCCACGACGGCTCTTCCTTGTCGGGGAGTTTCGCGCCGCTGCCCCGATGACCTTTTCCACGGTCTGACAGTCGGCGCTCTGAGAAAGGTGCCTAAGAGTACGCTCTGACTGTGAAGTGTTGTTTGTGACACCACATGGCGCCGGCGTCAAGACTGGATGCTATTCGTGATCAGGACCCCAAATAATCCCTATACCACCTTTCAGCGGAATTTGGCTTGGAAACAGCCAGTGGGCTTCAGTGTGACACCATGGCGCCGGCGGTCAAGAGGATGTTTTTGTATATCGGACCTCAATACACTTATACACAAATTTTCCAGCGGCTTTGCCAGCTGAAAACCGTGTGCCGCAAATGACAAGCCTCAAAAATGATGTCATCGGGTCGTATCGGGGCTCGAATTACCCCTATAGGAAGTTTCGACGAAAAATGAAACTTTGAGATTTTGGGGCAGTAATCGTGGGATAGTGCCCAATCCGGCAATAGGGGAAGGCTGAAAACGGTGAAAACCAAAGTTTCAACTGGGGAAGTAATGCATATCATTCGATAGCATTTTTCACGGGGAAGCTAACGGGGCACATTTCAGGTCTGCGAGTTCATCTGGAAATGCAAAAAATCTGAACATTCCACAAGGGCATGACGAGGAGGCATGTTTGGGCGAGCCGACCCACGGAAGTATGAACGCACTCATGTGCGACGGTTTCCACATAATTCCTACAGAAAGTGACCGTAGTCTACGACAGTGAAGGAAATTGTTCGCTATCTTCACAGCTTTCTGCAAAACATGTCCTCTGAAAATGGAAAATGTCACATAATAGGCCCACTATGCCTGCTGAGAACTGTTCAAAGATTCCACTTGATATACAGAGGATGGGATATTGAGAGCAGAGGGAACACGTAAAGCCAGTAAGCGCTTAAAAACGAAATGAAGATCTAAGAATTCGGAAAATAACATTCATCTACAATATGTAGTGATGAGATTGAGTACGTGGCGCATTCTGGGGTAAGTTTTGAGGCCCTTCTCTGTGTGTAGCGGTCAGCCCGCATAAGCGGGATTATATACACATCACATGCGAGCAACTACTTTTTGAGATGAAAATCGAGTGCATGGCGCAATCCTATGGAGCTTTGCCAAGTATCAAGCATTTTTAGTTGTCGTCGAGTGATTGCAGGGTTATACGAAGTTCACGGCATTACGATGGAGTGCGTTTTCGCGTGAATTTTGATTCACCGGCGATTACTGTACGTGTTCAACTACGAAACCTGATACGCCACGCACTTCCTTTACATCCCGCAACACTCCGCATTTGCAAGCGTATCTGCTCTACTCCTTCCTCTGAAATAAGCGCAAGATCCTTCTCCTATTATCAGCGTTGGCTTGCTGGCTCGGGCGCAACTAACCACAAACAAACTACCGAAGCCAAGAAATCAATTTTATGCATTTACGCGCTCTCATAGTAAAGCGCTGTCTTCTGTGCTCCTGCTAGTGATTAGTTAGATCAGCTTTGCGATCAAAATTGTGAGTTCAGAATGTCGACCCCGTCTCAGGCCTTCACATGACATTACAGATTCCAAATTGATGTAGAGTGCGTGGCGCATCCCAAAAGGGATTTATCAAAGCCTAGTGCTCTAACCTTTTGCTTTTAATCTCCACAGTTTCGTCACATTGTCCAGGTCGCAAAGTGACCAAAGAGGTCGAGGCTACCATGTCCTAGCAAGAAACTGTTCACATCATCCCTTCCAGTTTATACTCGAGACTCAGAGGGTCTTTTTTCTTACTCGAAGTGCTCCAAAGGGTCCCGTGTACGTATTAGTTCCATTAGACTAATCGATCAGTCATGTTCGTCATTTGTACTTTGGTCAAAATAATTGGGGATCCATAACCAGTCACAGACTACTCTCGGACTATTACCCGTTCTCGGAACAAAAGGGCGTTATAAAATTGGTCTACTAGTCTCACGATCAGCATTCTGTCGCTGACATGGATGTGGCAGCACTGAATCACCATAGGCTCTCTTTCACAGTTTTCTCATCTATCGGCATCGCCGATCCCTGAGGATCTTCCTGTAACGCATGTGATCTGGAGCCCTATGCAGCAGTACCGGGGGATGCGTCTCCAAGTTTGCATATCTGGGTACTCCACCCTATTCCCGATCTGTAGCATTGCGCCATCGACCATAGTAGAGAGGCAGAGTTTTGGAATCCCACTCCCGGCTGGATACTGCTCCATACGGCTCCTGTTTTCCAACGTCACACCTTGCGCATCTACAAACTCAATTGTTATTGTGTTTCTTAGGAACCTGCGGTACCAAGATGAAAAAGTTTGGAAACTGTAGACTAGAAAAGTGTACGTAGGTTCCACTTTTTGATGCTGGCGCTAAAGAATGACACGTGTGACAATAAGTCTGCAAATACGACGCGGCCACGGTAAACAGAGTATACCTATCTGTGGGCTCTTTGTGGTTCTACTGCCACATCTCGCTTGCGACCAATCACTTTCAATATCGCCGTTCTGCTCATTGACTGTTTTTGTTGTTAACTGCTGTTTTTGGCCGCAGTTCGCCTTGCGAATGTTTCACAAGAATGCTGGGTTGTGAACAAAACTTTCGCCCCAGACGGGACTCGAACCCGCACCTCTTGCTTACCGGGCAAGTGCGCTACAGTTATGCTGGTACCTTATGTACCAGGTATGGTGCCCCGGTAGCGTAACTGGTAGCGCACTTGCCCGGTAAAGCGAGAGGTGCGGGTTCTAGTCCCGCCTGGGGCGAAAGTTTTGCTTCACAACCCAGCATCCTTGTGAAAATCGTGTAAGCGAGTTTATCGCGGCCATCAAATCAACTTCGACCTCCAAGCGGAAATTCACCGGTCCTGCAAAACCATTGAAAATCAATGACGCTTGCGTGCAGAATGCGAGTAGCCATAACTGAAAACCACCACCACTTCTTTCCAAGCACCACAACTCTCTAGTGAATTTTTAGAAAATTACGTTACTAATTATAAGCTTCTCTTTTACAATGTGTCCACAGTGTGCTCTCCTGGAAAACAATGTGATTGCGCAGGGACACTGCAACGATAGAATAATAGCGTCTTCTTACGGCTACGATGCCAAACTAATACTATTAGGTACCGGATATCTTAGTGTCGTTTTTTCACCGCGAGTTTCGGACCACCAATATTTTAATTCAGAAATCCAGTGAGTGAAACGGCATATCCATCGAATGACTCATTAGCCCTTTCCCATTTACCAGTATGAGTGGAAACCTCGTACGATTAAAGCTAGGAATTTTTTGAGTCGAAAAAGAGAGGTAGGTCGAATTTGACATCATCTGACAAATCATCCCTCTCACTTGCTAAAAGTTGGGCCTGGACAAAATATGTATACAGTTAGTTAGAGTAGGGTCTGCACTGTATTGGTGGAAAATTTATTACTTACCAGCTCAACTGGACAATTTTTCCCGGAGTCTTTTTTGCCACATGGGGTCAAAAACGCACCCTTTTTGAGCACACGTGAGTAGCAGATGAGCACATTTATTAGAATTTCTTGTGCAATCAACTTCGTTAAGCGTTTGTGCATCATCGATCAGTCACTGCTAAGGTGTCCTACCATTTCAGCACAAGACTGGTGCAGCCCCGTCTCGACTGATTTAACTAGGGCCACCTTTTTGACGACGATTGCGGGCATCACTTCAAAGACTTCACTGTCTTTTGAGAAAACTGTGAAAAACCGATGAGCATTTTAAATGGTAGTATTCCCTCCAACAAATGCAATGTTGGTTTGGTGGGCGGAAGTTGTAGCTCTCAGCAAGAATTTTGAAGCATTTGGTACACACATGCGAATTTGCACACTGGACCCAGGAATTTTCAAAAAAAAGTATAAAATTGGGGGAAAGTTAAATTGTGAACCAACAATAGAAACAATAAAGCAACATATTTCGCAGTATTAATGAGCAAAAAGGACTTCTGAGATATTGATTTTCCATAGTAATCGGCCCCAAAACTTCCTGAACTCAGAAAAGCGACACTAAGATATCCGGTACCTAGTATTATGCTCGAAGGCTTCCTAGCTTGAATTCTATGTAAGCTCGGCTCGTTAACCCAATTTTGTCAACTCACTCATCTTTTGCAACACTTTTCAGGCAGAAATGGTCGTTGGAGGCCCAACCATTACACTTTCCAATGGCGTGAAAATGCCACAAGTTGGATTGGGGAACCTGGCAGGTGAGCAATTGCTTTTCGAGGTTACTTCAAAAAAAATTTTCAAGTAAGTAGAGCAGCTTGGACAGCTTTTAGAAGCACCTAGAACTGATTTGGTTCAATACGGTGCTCTACGCCGCTCTCAGAGGGATGAGGTTGAAGGGGGGGGGGCGGTGGAATCTAAACGGAAAGGCCGGCCCTGGGCCAAAATTAGGCATATCATATTATCACTATCATGTCATGCGGTAGCAGCACTCTAGCTTCCAGCTCAACTTCGCCGGAGCACATTACTCTAACTTACAATACTGTGTTCTGGACCTTATATTATTTGACTGTGAGATTATAAAAAGAAAGCATTCATTCTTTCAGTCAACTCCAGCTGAAGTAAAAAGTGCCGTGAAAGCGGCTATCGAGGCCGGCTATCGCCTGATCGATACAGCTGAAGCATATCAGAACGAGGATGCGATCGGTGAAGCCATCAAGGAATTGATTCAGGATGGGAAAATCACAAGAGAGGAGCTCTTTATAACAACAAAGGTAAAACGCCTCGAGACAACATATTATTACTGATATATAACTAGTTAGGCTTCCGAAACATGACAAGACAACTCACAAAATGCACGGCAGTCTACAAAAGGTTGTTGTATAAACTGCGTAGAAATTGCTGCCACTGAACGAAAAGTCGTAGCTTCTAATCAGTTTGGTTGTTCTTAGCACTCCTGCCCGGGGAGGCGAGATCCGGGGTCGATTCGGCTGATACAAAGTACTCTGTCCAGTCAACTCAATACGCTCTTCTAGACCCTGAAAATCCCTTACACCAGCAACCTTCATTTCTGCTAGAAAGACACACGGTCTCTGGCTGCCCACACTTTAATACAGCGCGTTGCCCAAGGGAAGTTATTACGTATTCAAGAAAACAATAGGCAAAGGCTGCAGTGATGTGCTCTCTTTGCCAAACGGACTTATCTTTAGGCGAACGTACCCATGGGATCACACTATTATTCAATCTGAAGGGCACTAGTTTCCGAGAAATGATTACTGTAGGTTGACATTCGCTATATCTCTTGCTTTTGTCATAGCAACCGCCTACAGTGGTCTTTCTTGAAGAAGTAAATGAAAACTCTGAAGCTTCCAGCTTTGATCGATCCCTTTTGGAATGTGCCACGCACCGGCCTCCATTCACAGAATCGTAGGATATTTGAATGTGATATGATCTATGAAATAACTGTTGACCAATCCCTGTATCACCTGTATCCGACTTGTCCTCGCAAACTTCGCCATTCACGCAAGTCGACTTTGAACCATCCATTCCGTCTTGAGCACGTCGTCTCCATTGTTGGCCGAATGTTTTCACCATCGGATCGGCCCACCTCATTTAACCCTTAGACTACGACTTTTTTAAAAACAAGTTATTGATGTGTTTTATGTAGTAACAGTTGCTCCTAGCAACAACTAATCATCTGTAGAAATTTGGCTGATGCGCGCTGGGTTTGAGCTGGGATTCGATCCAGAGACCATGTGCGCGGCAGTGGCCCTCCTGTCACCACACCATCTCCGCTCGAATGAGCATTTTCGAACAGTTCAAATACTATTCAACAAATACACATTTATCACATCTCATTCGTGGAACTAGGCAATGTCTGGTTGGGAACGCACTTGAAAAGAATTGCAAGCCGCACTTTGTAAAAGTGCTGCTCCCCTGCCTACAGGCTGCGCCCACCGGCTGCTTCTCCTCTAACGAATTTTTATGCTCGAAAGCTGCGTCATCATAGGAGTGTTCTACTACCACTTCCGCATCAAACGAACTGACAAAATTCCGGAGGTTGGAATTCCCAACGCAGTCGTAAAACGCTGTCGTCCTCTAGCTGGCTTGCGGCCGATAAAAAACCTCCATCCGTCACCGGCTTGCTTATGTTTCACCTGTTTCACAATAATTGAGGGAAATATTAGAACCATTAACACAATACAAAGAATTTGAGACTCGAAAACTACCTTCTCGGGAGCTGTGCACACTGCCCAGTAACCTGTGGAACGACTTGCTTATCAACTTATCCAGCGTAACTCGCTTAGACTTCTGATACTTCGCTGACAGAGTAAGAATTACCAAGTTTCTAGTTGTGCACAATTCCGCCATAAAGCGGACCCTCCGATCTCAATAAGTGCCAAAACTGTGGTAGTGACTTTGACTACCAAGTGGGACACATGTGTACCACCAGTAGTCAAAGATTAACTTACGCAGGATGACTCGCTTTAGCTTCTGACGATTCACTGTCATAGTAAGAATTAGAAAGCTTCTATATGTGCACAATTCAGCCATCAAATGAGCGCTCCTGCCTCAATATCTCCTGAAACTGTGGTAGTGTCTTTGACTACCAAGTGGGACACATGTGTCCCACCAGTAGTCAAAGGGTTAACCCACAACGACGGCGAGTGTATTTGTTGCGTGCGCCACATGGTGGCGCACGCCGCCACACAGGGTAGGGTTTATGTAGGCTTATGCGAACAGCAGGGTTAAGACGGGGCTAAAGTAGGTGTCCTTGTCTCATCATCCAAAAGAAGAGATTTCCGTTGACGACAACTTCGTAACCCGCCTTTCCGCTCTAAAACTAGGGTGCAAAGAATGAATGGAAGCTGCAGGTGAAATCATGGAAAAATGCGGAACAACAACCCCGAGCAAGGATGTGGCTATATTTAGGGGAAGGGGTCTCGGGACGTGCGAACCATGGGTAAGCCACCCATCAAATAGTAAACTTATGTAAATTAAGACAAAATGTATGTAAAATTTATTGTAGGTTTGTCAAAAATCCAGCCGTCCAGGTCCTGGGAAGATATGTTATTCCACATTGCTGAGAGTATATATGGGTATATTAAGATTGCTAGAAACATTCCAAAAACAAAAGAAATAATCGTGCGCCACCATGTGGCGCACGCCGTCCGTTATGGGTTAAGGCCCTCCCAGGCGATCGCTTGTGATCCAACGGGATCCAATTCATGAAGCCGGGAAGTCCATCTGTCATCTTTCAAACGTGCCACATGACCGGCCCAATCTCGTTTACGATTATACATTTCCTGGACAACATCAACAAGGCCACTTCTTCTTCGCAACTCTGTGTTTGTGATATGTTCACGAAGTGACACTTTGCAAATTCTGCGTTCCATTGACCTCTGCATCACAGCAAATTTCTCTTCGTCTGCTTTAGTGGGCGACCAGCATTCCGCGCCGTACAGCAGCGCAGGTATCACCGTTGAGTGAAACAAAGATGCCTTCAGTTTCATCGGGAGTTTATCGTCTAGCAATACCGTTGAGATTTCCTTTAAGCTACTAACCTGTGACCACCACTACATAACTTATGCCTTTGCCTTTCTTGATTAAAGGATAAAGGATAAAGCATTTGCCGTTGATCAATCCCTTTTTGGGATGCGGCACGCATTCTACTTCCATTTGTACATTCGTAGTGGCGTTTGAATGCGATGTGGCCTATACAATGACTTGCGGGGGCCAGCCGATGTACAAGTCAGTGTTTTTATCCTCCCAGACAAGTCTGGTACCAATTAACCGACCCCGGAGGGATGGAAGGCTTGGTTGGCCCGGGCGACTCACGACCCAGGATTTGATCCCCGGACCGCTCGCGTGGTAAGCGTGCCACTTGCCACTACACCACTTCCGCCCTAAGTCCTTAGCCTTTCTTGATAAAGTATCGGAAAATTTCGAATCAGCTCATTGTGAGCGACTACACGAGGCGTTGCTCAAAAAAACGAGAAATATTGAAAGAAAGTAGTTGAAGTTAGAGATCTTTTTTTGCCAAATATAAATGAATGCAATAAGTTTGGACGGACCCAGAAATGGAAGTGTTTTAAAGTCTGGAGATCTTCTGTGGTAGCCACCTCTCTGCTGTAGTGTGGTGATGCTTCTAGAGCCTCCGTTTACAAGAGTATCTCGCTTATGTGTGAACTGCCTTGAGCAATGACATTCACCCTCTCAAATAGGGATGAATCGTGTGCATCATCTGCTTCTCTGTTGTCTAATGGTAAGAGGCAGGGTATAACGGTCGAGGAATTCCTCGACCATGGCTCTGCACTGTGTGAGAAGTAGTGTCGAGAGTGAATGTACGCGCGGAGAGCACAGACGGCTCGCGCATGGCGAGAGTGAATGTCCGCGCGGGAGAGCGTGACTGAACAGGCGAAAATCCTCGACGTGCCGTTGACGAATCCTCGACCGATTTTCACCCTGCTGAGAGGGGGTGTAGCAACATATCACGATCTGATGATCAAATCTAGCCCAGGCCAACCAAGCCTTATAAAAGTGGAACCAGACTTATTTGGGAGGACAAAAACATTGATTTGTACAGCAGCTCATTTCCAGAAGTCCATAGACAACCCATTATCCAATAATTTGAATGGAAGAATTTAAAAGCGTGGTGTAACCGAG